AAATGGGGATGTTTGTTATACTTTTCCTTTGTGAGTACTAACCAGAGCAGTGTGGATGTGTTGTGTGGCTCTGAAAATGAACTCCTGTGATTTAAAAATATGAGAGCATAATGATCACTAAACAGCCTTGTTGACACTGTGCAGGTAAAGATCTGGCTCCTCCTCCTTGTTCATTTCTATCTGCCAAATGCCAGAATAATGAGAAAGAAAGAAAGCCAGACAGATTATGAACCATTCTGACCACGTCCTAAGGTACAAATTCTGTTTCATGCCCTCCGGACGGTGCTACCTCACTTCCCCTAGGAAAACAAATAGATATGCAAATTCTTTTATTCCTTCTGCAATGACGTTTCTTAATGCTGCTGATGGTAGCAAGTAGAAATGGCCAGGCATTGTATTTACTTGCTAACATTTGTTTTTTGTTTTTTTTATGATTCTCTCCATGGTGACCTGTGTGTTTGTAGCTTTTGCCCTTACATATTTACTGACTGCCCACTGACAGAGTGCCTGAATGTCTCTGTTTATGTTATGTTACCCGTTTGGTAGACTGTAAACTGAATTGCCATTCGCCATGAGCATTCTCTGCTTGTAGACCCTTCTGGGAAAAGTGGAAACATGTTCTGTAAGAGGAGGATTCTTGTATAACATAAGAAGCTACACATGTCATCAAGGAGGGTGTGCGTGGTGTCCTCTAAAAGTAAGCCTCCTCGGATGTTCTATGAAAAAACATTTACATACAGGGATCCAGTGAAGCACCTTTTGCATGAAGAGATGAGTGCATCAATGTCCTTCCTCAGGAAAAAACAAATCAGGAGGAAACTTTCCACAGATTGTTATTATGAAGACAGAGTGACCTCTTATTGTCCACACGATAGGAGAGCGTCTTGTTGACCGTCTTGTGTCTCTCAGGTCAGTGAATTCCTTGTTCATATCTGACGGTGGTGATCATTGTGTAACACTGTGGTGCTCAGTTTAATTCAACACAGTATACACACCCCCACATTGACACATCTATCTATACATAAGCATCTACATACCCATACATGTCATAG